ACGGTCCATATCACAATAAAGTAATTGTTCTGTAAATTTAATTAAGAAATTGTTGGAAAATGACCGTACTGTACTTTTTTTTAACTTTTTCAACATTTTTTATTTATTTTTTATTTTTTGGAACTTACATACAAATCAATAAACGACTGACTCTCATGAGACAACACTTGAGTTAAAAACAAAAAAATCTAAACAGTAAAACTAAAATTCTTTCAGAATTGAAGCTTTAAGGTTCCTGACAACAATAATTTCAGGTGTTACAGGTTTCCTTATTTACAGCTTCTCCCCTCCTCCATGTCTGCTCAAATCATATTACTTTGCCACATAGTCTGTTCGTATGGTAGAAATGGTATTGCTGAATCTCTTCTATTGTTGTCTTGATAGTGGAATTACTAACCATGATACAATAAATTCAAAACTGTCGATATTTGATACCATTTTCAACACAGGCTATAACAGATGACAACTTTTTTTATTAGCTAGCTAGCAGTAAATGCATGCTTCCCTCTGCACCACGATACAGTTTGTGGGGGTAGTTCGTTAGAAAGTAAATAATTCCTACATGAAACTGCTCACAACAAGGTCTGTGGATTATCTTGAATAACCAGGTCATGATTTCTGGAAAGTATGTACATATATATATCTATAGATATATAGATATAGATATGTATACTTAGAGCCAAAATTATTCCACATTACTTAATCAAACTCTTGTAAAATGTGTTTTACAGCCAAGTGCTTAAAGTGTTTTCTTTTTCTCTGTTCCCTAAAGCCGACTGAAGAAAGAAGGTGACAAGCCATCTTGAGTGCGAGGTGGTGCATGCCCTGAATCCCTACACTCATACCCAATAGAATACTGTGTACTTTTAAGACTGTAAGAGAATATTTGTGTGTCAGTTTCTTTGTTTTAATATATTTTAGGAAAATCTTTGTGGATCTTTATGTGCATTCCTTGTTCAGCACTTAACGGGACTGTCAAAGTCCGTCTGAGTTTTTCATATCACTTAAGACTTTATACTAGTTTTATTATCGAAATAACGGAGCAGTCTCACCTGTTCATGTGAGATTTAAAGTGATGGATTTTCTCTAACAAACTGTAAAACTGTTTCATATGCAGTGACATGAATTTGATAAAACACAACTCTTTTAAAGGATATGAAAACAGACTGACTTTGGTGTTGAGTTTAAATATCTACCTATGATTTCTAAATGGTTTCCTTGTACAGAATGACATTTAAATCAGTGTTTGAATGATTGTAATAACCTAGCATGACTCAGCCTTCATTTTTCACCAAACTAGACTAGCAAGTTGCATTGTGGTGTTTAGAATTTGAAATGATAACAATAATAAGCATAGTAGAGGTTGGTTTTACTCTTAAATCTGCTAAATATTTGTCTAAATCCTGAAGTTTTATATATCAAGATATCTTTTCACAATATAACCGAAGCTTTTATTCGCTCATTTTTGAGACTGTAAATATTACATGTTCACAATATTCTATATGAATGAGTACTATTGATATAGCAGTAGATGTGAACACTTGACCCTTGATTCAGCACGATAGCAGTATAAATCATAAGCTAAAACAATATATAGTATTATAAGGCAAGATAATTATTAATTGGACCATGACCTGTCACTGCAGACAGTACGTTTTACTAGAATGATGTATTTACATTGTTTTGAGGAGAGAAACTGAATTGGAGAAAAGCTAAATCTTGAACATTTTAAAGGAATTTTTGAAAGAACTGCCTCTAAATTCAATATTTATGTGACATAATATGAAAGTGTATCCATTGCATATTTATTTCAATAAATATTTCTGCAATGACACCTTATTCTCTTTGCACTGGGAGTTCCTCTGTAAGAACAGCCTGAGGTCTACAGTTTAATTTGTACACCCGCCTAAAACTAACATCCGAGCCACACTGCCTGTGTGAGCAGTGCATGTGTGTGTCCTGGACCCTCTTGTTTTTCTTTCTTTTTTTTTTTTTGGAAACTTTGTTACCAGGTAAGAGCAGCCACACTGCCCGCATGAGCAGCAGCCACTCAGCAGGCAGTGTGGCTGCTGCTCAGCTGTGGAACATCTAGACCAGTGGTTTCAAACTGTTTCAGCTACAGGTCCAGATTTCTCCTCAGTCATTAGCTCAAGGTCTCACACTTTCATACATTCAGCATGATATTTGTGTTTGGTTATGTCGTTAAGCTAGTTTGTTGTCTCTAGCAGGTAGCTGTCAGTTAGCCACTCACTTTACAGCAGGAAACGGCACTTCAGAATGAAAGCTCTGTGCTGGAAATTTGCTGTACTTAAAAATAAAGTGTTTTTTCTACAAACTAGACAGGTTTGTGAGTCACTTGCAGTCCATTCAGAATGGACCCACGACCCACTTTTGGACCGTACCCCACCGGTTGAGAACCACTGATCTAGACAGTAGGATTCTCGCCTATATATCATTAAATAGTCTTTTAATGATCATACTGACATAATACCATCTTTTCCTGTAGTTTCAGTGTCAGTATCAGTTACAGACATGAACAGTTCCGAACATTTATTTTTTACCTCATCCTTTCCTGTTTTCATTTCTACTACATTTGTTTACTCAAGGCTTTTTGTAAAAAAAAAAAAAAAAAAAAGTGCAGGATCCTGTTGTTGAAAAGGCAGTGGCTTGTGCGGCTCCATAAACAAGGGTAGTATTAGCTTTTAATTGTGGAAATACAGTAGTTATAGCAGCAGGCAGCTCTGCAGCAGCTCTGCAGTAGCACCGCAGCAGCAACGCTGTCTGTGTGAAAACCACACGTGTGAACCGCGGCAGTTTAGAGAGGCCGCCGTCTCGCACTGCTCACACCTGCAGGCATTATGCTGTCTGGCGCTGTAATGATCAATTGATTAGTTGCCAACTAATAAATCACAGATCAACTAATTTGATAATCGGTTGGAGTATTTTTTTTTTTTTTTTTGAGAAAAAAAAGTCAGTTATCGGATTCCAGCTTGTAACATGTAAATATTTTTTTGGTTCGCCTCTAAAAAGCAAATGAAAAAAGCTAAATAAACTGAACAGTACACTGAATATCTTCAGGTTGTGGACAAAATAAAACATTTGATGATGTCATTTTAGGCTTTGGGAAACACTGATCGACATTTTTCAGCATTTTATAGACCAAATAACTAATCAATTAATTGAGAAAATAATCAATTGAATAATAAACAATGAAAATAATAGTTGTAGCCCGAATGCCACCTGATACAACAGTCTCACAGTAAATTAAATCTTTTCAGGAAGGTTATAATGTTCAGTTTGTGTTATATCTGTTTTAGAGAGGTGTTGATTCAACTTATTTTGGAGGGTGTAGTTTACGGTGCAGTTGAATAAAATTGCATTAAATAGCTACTCTGAAAAGATGACCTCACCCAAAAAATGATCATTTATATATCAGTCTCTCACCATGTCACCTTGAATTTGTGCAGAAAACATTGTTTTTCTCGCACGCTGCCACAGCAAACGGAGAACCCAAAAAGGCGAACTTTATGAAGTGAAGAGTGTCCACATTTAACAACAGCCAAACTGTATAAAAACTCTCACACAACTCATGCAGTATAACCCAAGTGTGCCTGAGCATGTGTGAGCCTATGAGCTCCAATTCACCCAGACTTTTCACTGTTTCTGGATTCTTCGTTCACCATGGAGGCATGAGAGAATGAATACGGTAGTGAGTTATGGATATACAAAGGATCATTTTGTGGGTGAAGTATTCCCTTAAAGGGGCAAAAAGCAAAACAGTTTGTTACCCTGTTTCAGACTATGCTTACCCATGATGCACAGCTCAAGCAATCACCTACTGAACCTTTTCTTACAACATAAATACAAACCAGGCACATAAGTACAACACAGCTTTCTTTCAGCTTTCTTTCAGCTTTCCATCCCCTTTGTCCTCCTCAACAAAGACGGCCTACATGCACTCTGCATCTAATCAGAACCTCTACAGGCTGCTGTTAAACCTTAGCTTGATTACAGTTGTACGACAGACAAAGCCATGACATTCATAAACAGCACATGTTAAAAGGTGTGAGCGTCTGTGCTTACATAATGGTCCATATATCAACATCAGTTTAACCAGAACTGAAATAACAGTCATTAAAAGTTGAAAATGCAGATGAAATGTTTAAAGGATGTGGCTGCAGATAAGCTATTATTTTTTATTGTCAGCCAATTCCATAAAAAGGACCAAAACCAACAGTGTAAGTTCATCTCTTTACAACTCACACATCCTGCGTGCGGCTCTCAACCCAAAGCCATTTTGTTCCTGTTAGGTCTCGAATACATACTGATTAAATCAAATCTAATTCAAAATGATCTAAATAATTTCCTATAACAACTTGGTGCTGTTGTTTTTAGCAGTGTAACCATTAGGATGCCTGCTTGTGAGCATGTTCACTTGTTTTTTTTTTAAATCATTATGCAGTCAGCCTACAAATGTGACATGAACATTTTTGTTTGTCCAATACTTAGTTTTCAATCTCATCTCAAAAATCTCATTTTTTTATTGCGCATTCAGCCTTTTATCACATCCTCTAGAGAGTGTCCCTGCATTTCACTGCACATATTAAAAATATGAATATGTGACAAATAAATCTTTGAATCGTGATCTTGAATCTTGAAACAGTCCATCTGTTGGGAACTATTTTCAGCCCCTAATTTGCTACTGAATATTTTCAGCAGCAGGATCATGTCTGAGCGACAGCAGTGATACTCAACTTACAGCCTGCAGGTCAAATCCAGCCCCTGATAGGGTGCTGTGTGACCCGTTGACCATTTTCCAATTCACAATGAAAATATATTGATGTGCAATGGGAAATGTTGTACTCTGAATGCAAACAGGGAGTGCAGGGAGTGCATAAAAAAACATCAAAATAAAGCCTGTTTACAGGTTGAGTTTAAAAAAAAAAAAAAAAATAGTGTCAGGAGAGGATCCCCAGGACCCCCTGACAGAAGTCTGAGCTAAGCCGCGAATGTCCTCAAATCCTAGAAGTGCCCTTAGGTACACCTGACCTGTGCTGGCTGCTACAACTGCCCCCTGGCATCTTGCAAGGTGGACCGCAGGTAAAGCAAGTTGAGTATCCGTTCTCTAAAATGTCTGTATTCACTGTAATGAAGAGTTTTTGAATAATAATAGAGGAAGAAGCTACATCAGGCATTGGTAACAGCTGTGTTTGTCATGAGGATCAGTTCATTGTTGGTTTGTCTCTTTTTATGGAATCTGTTGACAACAAGAAACTTAAACTTCCTTTAAATAAAAACCTTCAACTAGCTTCAGGCTGAAAAGAACTTAAAACATCAGTTTTCTTTTACATGCTGTATTGTAACTTGAATATATTTTTATGGATGGACCCAAGTGAAAATGTTTGGAAATGACCTTTCCCCCTTGCGTGCACATATCAGGCTTAATCTTGAGCAGGATTCTTCTTCTTCACATACTGCCGCAGATACTGGATGGCCGACAGCGCACTCACATTTGCCAGGAGAACTGAACAGGATTTCAATAAAGGTTACTTTGAGGAATTGGTTGTTAATGCACCAAGTTATACAGTGCTCCTAATGTTCAACACTTGAAGCCCCTGAAAACATGGTTTCAAATATTAAAGGTATACTATGCAGGAATCGTCAACTACTATTTGTAAACAGTATTGCCAATGAAAGTGAAAGTCAGCCCCAACTTTGTGGTATCTCACCTTGCTACACTTGTACTTTTATTGGCATGGTGTCTGAGATTATTGTAGCTTCCTCTTGGATGTGTGCTGCTTTCAGTCTGGCACCTGGTCTCTACCTGATAAAGTCTTGACCTCACCTGTGCACCTGCGTGCTGTGACCAGGAACATCTCAAATAAAGCAAACTCTTACAAGCAGAAGGCCAGTCTGGTTGCCAGAAGAAAATATTTGCATTGTATATTTCTGCAAACCACGGACGCATACATTTGTATGTTTAATACTGTACGTATCATATCAACATTTCTGAAGTGACCTAATATATAAGCTGACTTTGTCATCAAGAGGTGGAGAGGACCTAGCAAGACACCTGCCAAGCTGCAAACAACCAACTTACAACAGAACTGTTTGTTTTTAGCGACACACTGCCCTGCTTCCGTCAGAGATGATGGCCAGACAAGTGGTTGTTTTTATAGAGACATTTCCCGCCAGAATAGTGCCACCAAAACTGGGTATTTTAGGTCAAAACATGATCTTTTCCTAACCATAATTGAGTTTTTATTTTGTGCCTAAACCTTACCCCAAGTTATCCACAGCACTGGTGAAAAGTAAGGTTTGAATGTCAGCTATATAATAACATAAAAATGTAACGTAGCCAGGTTTGCAGAAACGAACAATCCCAACATTTATTCTGTCAGTTTGGTTGAGGGCAGAGTCTCTGTGGAAAAATACACCGTCACACACTTCTAGTGGGTCATAAGCAATGATTACTTCTGTATGGGTTTATACACTTTCTTTTAGGAAAATCCTGCATAGTATACCTTTAAGTATTTCTTATTGACAACAAGTGTTTTTATTTATTATCTATTAAATGTTCAGCACTCAAAAGCTTACAGAACCAACAGATTTTGAATCCAGTGTTGCTAAACTCAGATTGGTGCACAGGAATACATGACATCACCTTTCAGGAAGAGGCTGATCTCGAAAAAATGTTTTCAAGGCCTTTAAATATTAAATATTGTGTTACAGACAACAGGTCTTCGTTAAAGGTTTGTATGCGACATTCAGAGCGTTAATACAGCAGCAAACAACTATTTGCTTTGCTTGCTTAGTGAAGATATAATAGCATCCTGAGCAGAGAATGAAGTCACACTCCCTTCTCTGTCGTTTGTTGCAGTAAGACAGTTCAGACTTGCGTGCTTGTTAGTGCATGTGTGTATCCCAATGGTTAGTTAATCTCTGCTGCTCTGAACCACTTTCATACACGGTTACTGCTGATATTGGGACAGTGTAGCGCCCACCCCTAGTTAACACCATTAGCTCTGTCAGCACCGTTGCTGTTGTTTATGCAGTTGGCACAGTTAGCTGCCAGCTCAGCCACCTCCATGTTGAGAACCATGTGCAGACAACTCATACACTCTGAATTTTGCATCAAGCTCCTTTAATTAGTAGATTAATGACTGTTACAGCTGAATATCAATCAAGGAGTTTCATACCTGCTTTCCAGGTATCAGCACTCTCTGGATCAGAGGATTTTAACACCCAGGAGGCAAAAGCAATGCAGACTAAACACATATCTGACTGCTTCAGTGTGGAGAAGATGCCCTGTCGTCCTGTCAGAGACATAAACATGCACAAAAAAGTAGATTTTATTTCATTGTAGTTTTGCTTTGGATTTTTTGGATTTGCCCAGACTTACTTTTTGTCTGTATAGCCTCAAATACCCTCTGCTGCACAGCCAGCTCTCTAAACAGCTGAGAAGGACTCAAAGAGACTCTCCTCTCAGTGAGGACTGTTACTGGTGGATCAGCACTCTTGATGGTGATCTTCTCTGCCTCAACGGGGAACACCCAGGCACCAGATCTGCTGCACCAGATGCTACCTTTGACAGGGAAGCGAATCTTCCTCATCAGACTTTTCCAGGTGAGAAATCCATGTGAGGCCGCTGCCCCACAATCACTGCCCTGGATGAAGGAGCGAGACACGACTCTGATTGGAGAGATGTCGTCCTCCATCTCACAGTCTGCACTCAGGAAAACATAGTCCTGATTTGGGAATGTGAGTTCTCTGACGGTCGGGTGAGAACAGGAGAAAATGGGGATGGGTTTCTCCTTGATGCACGAAAGGTCATGGAGGGGAGAAAATGACCTTTCATCTCTGACTGTACAAAGAGTGAAGTCAAACACAGGAGCCGCTGAAAAGTCCTCTGGATCATAGACGGCGACACACTGGGAAACAGTCTTTGTTCTATCCCCTGTGAAAAAGTATTCAAACACTTCAGGGATGGATATCTGATAATGTTCGTCCACAAAAGGTACAGGTGTTAGTTTTTCCAGGCTGTCGCTCGTTTTCAAAACCATGTCGTCCTCCAGAGATGGACAGCTGCTGAGACACGGACTGCTCTCATCGTTACCAAGCAGAACCTGCAGAGATAAATCGTCTGTGATGAGAGCCTGTACGTTACGCACGCTTTTGCTTTTTGTTATCTGTGTCGGCAATGGAAGTTCGCTTGAAATTAAAGCATTCGAGTCCTCATCCTCAAAACATTTCATTTCATAGACATCTGAAGGCACAGGTGTCTCCTTTCCCTCGGAGCCTGAGGACTCCTCTTCCTCATGTGCAAAGAACAGAGAGTCACTCCTGCTTTTTTTGCTTTGAGGGTCAGGACTGGGGTTCCTACTGGCGCTAAGAAACTGCCAGTACTCTTCTTCAAAATCAGAGGTGGAAAACTCACAGCTTGAACGATCTGGCTTGGATTCGTCAGGCTGTGTGAAATAATCTGAGTCAGCAGCATCTGACGTGTCCATCAGACCCCCGTCAGATGAATTATACTCCACAGTGTCAGCCACAGAGCTGTGATCATCTGTGACCGGTGTCACTGTGTCTTGTGTTTCCCTGGGAGGGGTTCTTCTACCCATCCTGAGCTGCAAAATGTCATTTATTGTCAGTTTTTCCATCTCATCCCAAAAAGCAGAAATGGCATACACAGGTCGAGTGTGGCCCGCGGCTTCAGCGTATGTTTCGGGGCTGTCGGCCACAGAGCATGGTGTTAGAGTTAACTCAGGAACAGGGAGAAGCTGATCTCCTGAAGAGCAGCCAGATGCCGGAAGATTAACTTCATGTTGTTGGAGTCCAGGTGCATCTGAGGGCGGCGTGCTGTGTGTGTGGTTGTTACATGTGGAGTTGTCATCTGGTATTTTGTCAGAACTTTGGCGAGCAGATGGAAATGTGAGGGTGGGCTCGACGTCGGTGCTTTTGTGACCTTCAGCGTTGGGAACTGTGACAGTGCAAGACAGAGGGCTATCACAAGAATCTCTGTCTGGTGTAAAGTCTGCATTGTCATTTTCAGTCAGATTGAACAGATGGCTGTTTTCTGTCAGAGATAATGAGCTTTGGTGTTCAACAATAAGACGCTGAAGGTCCTCCTCTGATTCAGTTGCTGACAGATAGATTTCAGAATCAAAACTGTGAGTGGAGAGGAACTCGGCTGTGTCATCAGACTCCACACTGTCCAACCGTGACGGTTCTTTGGGTGTAAATGTGTCATCGGGCGTGGATGCTGAGCTGCTTGGGTCGTGTTGGTATCTGTCTGTCGTTGGCTCTGTAGGAAAATGAGACATCACCAGCTTTTCTAACAAATCATCTTCTTCACCAGACGTTAAAGACACTTGCGATGAATCTGAAATGAGTCCCATGTGAACACTCTCAGGATCTTCTTCATCACCTTGATACCCTTTTGATTTTTGGTTTGTGTGTATGACACACTCTGTGTCCATCCCTCTGTCGGATTCATTATTATTTTTAATTATCTTGTCATTTTCAAGTAATCCCTCCTGCCCAGGTCTGCCCATGTGATTGTCCTTACAAAGTTTTTTTTGTCTTCGTTTTTTTTTCACAGAGGCAGCACGCACTCGCGGTCGTGCAGGACTGTAGTTTACTGTCACGAACCAGCGTTCTTTTTCTGCTCTTAATGCAGCGCCGCTCACACCCTCGCTCACAGCTCTGTCTGTATTGTATGGCTCGTTCACATTTAGCTCCGCTTGGTTGCAAGAAAGTGGGTCAGGTTCCTGTATGGATTTGAGTTCACTCTCCGTTTGTACATCTCCATCTTCTTCTTTCAGCTCTGATGAGTCTCCATCTGCAGACTGAACATTTAGTTGCTCAGTTTGCAGTGTGGTGTTGTTATTTGTCTCCTCTGTGATGTGCTCTGTTGTGCTGATGGCGGTCGCTTCAGGATAATCAACACATATCTCAGCTTTTGTTGTAAGATCATCTTGTCCTTGTCCTGAACTACTCTCTGTAATCTGCACTGATGTACACTTTACACAACCAGTGCAAGTCTCTCTCTCTGTGCAGCGTCTTGCAGAGCTGTGCTGTGGCTCCTGCCGGCCTGTGCACAGCACTGAACTTGGGTTTTCCGAATCATCTGAATCACTGAGGTTCCAGCTATCAGGGCAGGCGAGCGAAGCCTGCAGCAGACAACACTCCTCACTCTCATCATAGAAGCTCGCCCAGTCATACTCTCCAATGTGTATGCTGTGATCTAAATCATCCATTTTGATGACTCACATGCTCTTCAATCTGGAAAACCAAAACAAAACATAAAGATAAGTGTTAGAAGGTTGCAGATTTAACCCTCCGGTCCCCCTTATAAAAAAATCACACCTGTCTCCTTCAGGACATTTTTCATCCTTGTTGAAACACAACCATAAAAATATTAAATATTAATATTTTTTTCTACTTTTTTTTGCTTAAATCTTTCAACCAACTCCTACTCAGATTATACATATCAAATATTCAATCATTTCGAGGATTTTTAACACTTTATATGCCACTTTCTTTACATGAAATCACTGTTACTTTTATGAAAAAAACATAAATTATGAATAACTTTCTATATAATAAATGTTGGATGGAATTTTTTTTTCTAATTATCACAGTCTGGGATATGTGAATGATTAATAACAACACCAATTTTGATGCGTTATTATTTTTTTGTGCAGTTTCAATTTTTCAATATACACCGACACCTTTCCCCTTTGGGATGTTTTTCGTCCTTGTTAAAAAATAACCATAAAAATATTAAATATTAATATTTTTTGCTTAAATCTTTTAACCAACTCCTACTCGGATTATACAAACCAAATATTCATTGTGTGTGTGTGTGTGTGTGTGTGTGTATGTATGAGAGAGAGGTGAGAGAGAGAGAGAGAGATGGAGAAAACAGTAATGTAATCTTGCAGCAACCTGCAGCTCATAATTTGCAATTTTTAGCTACACAATTACACACATGCACATGCACATACACACACACACACAAACAATATCAACACTAACCTAGCATTTATTTATTTTTTATTTTTTTATGCAACAATGGCTCGCAAACCTCACTAATGAAAAAATAGGAGAAAAATACAGGCAATTTTACTGCTTATTATTTAGTGTATGTTTGCTCTGCTGGGGAAGCAGGAGAAAATGATTGAAATGACACACACACACACACACACACACACACACACACACACACACAAACCAATGTTGCATGTTTTATACAGACCACACTGTCACATCCTCATGAGCACAGCAAGACCATTTTTTGAATGCATTTGCCCTCCCTGTTAGGGGCCTATAGTGCTTCAAGTGGCCAAACCAGGAATTGCATTGAAAAGACAACAGGGCACCAAAAATGGAAATTGGCTCCATCTGGGTTTTTTTTTTTTTTTTTTTTTTACCATTCTTGGGTCTCTCTAACCAACCTGACTGCCAGAGATAGAAAAAAATCACGTTTTTTTATGTAAATTGAAGGGGAAAAATGTCGTTTTAATGGGTTTCAATGGGGACGTTTTCTAAGGTTTCTGACCAAATGTCATGCTATATGCATGAACACAGCCAAAGTTATCAAAAAATAAAAACTGAAAAATGACTGAAAAGGACGTTTTCCGTCCGAGGGGGACCGGAGGGTTAAGTATTCTGCATGAAATATAATAAAATGCTGCAAGTCACGAGCAAGTACCGAGTTACTGTGATGAGAAGCAATCATGTAAAATCCAGTCCCTGCTATAAGTCAAGCAAATCAAATCATTGCTCTGGTCAAGCAAGTCACAAGTTGTATGAAATTGTGATGATCCTGTCATCCATGAAAGCTAACATTTGACGATAAGCTAATCAGTTAGCCTAACGGACACAGTCCTCTGCATTCTTTGTAGTGACAGTTGAAGTTGGATGTTGCAGTGGTCGTGTCACTGATGTTTGAGCTGCAGAGCTTGCATATCATGGCTCTCTTCTCACCACCATCATTAACAACATAATCCTTGTGTGATATCTGTCAAGTTTATCTTCATGTGTTTGTGCCCAGTTCCTGTTTTATTTTGAAATGTGTTCTCATTGTGTTTCTTTTACTTCCTGAGTTTTCCCATCTGTGTCTTGCTCCACTCACCTGTGTGTAGTTAGTAATCAGCCCATGTGTATTTAAAGCCCAGTGTTTCCTATAGCTCACAGTCCATAGCTGCCCCTGATTCATACTTGTCTGTCCAGCTGGCTTGACCTAAATACACTTCTGACTGCTTCCCTGTGGAACACAATTTGGTGGTAGGCTTTGAGATCTTCTACATGTGTGAGATTTAGGATTATACAATATAAGATTCTGTGCAGAGCATATATATTACTCCTGGTAGATTATCCAAGATGGATGACAAACATCAAGATTTCTTTATTCCCCTTGCTCTGGGACTGTCCAGCTGTTAAAACATCTAGTTAGAGGCGATATCTCTTATGTCAGAGTTTTTCAGTGTCAATTTCCCAGTGTGCCTCAAAGTATGCTTGCTGAGCCTGAAGTTGGATAATAATGTTGGAGTAACTGTCGTGCGCCTATGGACACTGGGTTGCTTATCTATTAAGAGACTAATTCTTCTGAACTGGAAAGAGCGTAAAGCAGCCTGCTTCACAAGGGACCCCTGGATGATGGAATATCTGGACTTACTAAACATGGAACGGGCAGCCTGCCTGTTAAAAGACTTTGATAAGGGGCTGGAAGGCCACTGGGACACTGTCTGTACACTTTTAAAACAGTTTATACACAAAGGATTTATGAGATCCATTTGTTGCCTTTGTGTGTTCATGCTCTCTAGCCTTTTCCTCATGTTTGATTCCCTGGTTTTTGACTCTGCTTGGATTTATGGACTTCTTGTGTGATTTCCCTGAATGGATTTTTCTGTCTTCATGTGTTTGACCCCTGATCTCCTACGAAAAGATTTGGAACTGATAAACTGTTCTTGGTGTTTGATGTTTCTCTCAGCAACTGAGTCCCAGTTTTACACTAAGTCACTACATCTTGACTCTAAACTTCATTATTCTTGGACTAGCCTCCTCCATGATAGCTGCGTTATGCATTGGCCTCTGCTGGACTACCCTGTCTTAGTTGGTTACCAGATTTGCACACATTGCACTAGAATTGTTTTGTTTTTTTTATCAGTGTTAGTCAAGCAAGTCTTAAGTCAAGTCATGTGACTTCAGTCCCCCACCTCTGACCCTGGGTATCTCCGCTGGGTTAGATTCAAAATTATATCAACACATCTGAGTTAAAAATAGAGCGTGTATTTGTATGAAGCTTAACATCGCTGGTAATCAGCTGTCATTATTTAACTGTTGTGTGGAAAGCAAACAAGCTCCTGTATTAGTGCAGAGCCTGAGAGGTGAAGAGCTCAGAGAGCAGCTAAGCAACACCAGAACACAGAGGTCACAGGATCCATAACAGACCCCAAAATACTTCGGTCATGTGACATGATATGAAAAAATCAGCTGTCCAATGTCAGGGCACAACAAGCTGTAGCAACTTAACAAACAAGCTCAGTGGTGGTTGTTGATGCTATGTGATATAAACATTAATATCTGATATTAAACAAATTAAAATTAAGTCAACTCTAATAAATCATTTTGTATTTGATCATGTTTTGTCATAGCTGCAGGGGAACAAGTTTACATCATATTTCAGGTGTGGAGTTATTAGGATCACTCAGGTGTAATTTCAACTGCTCTCTGTCAAAGTCATCTAAGGTCTTGTCCTCTACATTATCATTACATTACCAACATGAAGCACACAGCTACAGTAAATCCATGTTAATGTGTCTCTGTGGTAGCAAGAGAACCTACCTGTTGCAGAAGGACGAAGTGTCCACTGTGAAGGTGTCAGTACTTTCTCCCTGCAGGGACATTTCAGCTCTGATGTCCGTCTGTCCTTGCATATGTCAGACGGGGGCCTGGCACTCAGCTGTTATAAATAGAGTAGTATGTCCAGTCACATGTAGCTGCAGACATCCGTCCCTCTATTACCAGAGCTATGACATTTCACTACCTTAAAATACCAGCCCTGTCACAGTTATTAGAGGTGATGTCAATAATCAATTCTATTCTATTATTGACATGATATAAGTTTAAGGGACACACTGACACATTTAATGGATATTTTATAAATATTGTGCATTTATTCAAAATGACAAAGTCTGAGCAAACATCAGAACTTTTTGTTTATGCAAATATTTGTTTTTATTAACAGTGCAGGTTTCCAATCGTGCATTTGAAAATATTATTCAAAAAGTAAAAGTACAAAGAAACTTATCCAAAAACAAAAGAAAATAGGCAAAGAACAATCACCAAAAAGAAAAGAAAAAAAAAATTAGATGACATATTAAATATAAGGATACTATTTCTTAAATAAATATACAGAGCGGAAAACACCAGATCTTTTTTATGAAGTTGTGCAAACATTATTTCTTTTTAAATTTACAAAAGTTGTATTTTTCTTTGGCTTCAAAATATATATATATTTTTTTATCACAAAACTCTACTGCATCATTACAATCCCAGTAATGACAGAGTATTTAGCATCTAGCCTTAGTCTCAAGTCTCAAGTCACACACACACACACACACACACACACACACACACACACACACACACACTTGTGGAGTTTTAAAAAATGCACATGTCTTACTTTAAATCACTGTTTTCTCAATAGAGTCTGGCTTTAGAAGAGAGCTATATAACAGATTTGTTTTCCCACTGGAAATCACTGTCTGCGATTAAGTGAAAATATTTTATATAGGCCTAGTATACACTTCAACAGATATTGATACTTTTTTTTAGGTGGCTAAAATACATTTTGTTGCTGACCCCTCCACAGCAGTAGATTGCGTAGCTTCCATGTCGGACTCCAGCCTGCTTCTCAAAAGTGGGGGCCTTCCGACTGACATCTACTGTAGGTAATATACTGTCAAGAGATAAGTACTCCATACAACTCCCCAATCTAAACTATCCCTGTAAGCCACGCAGGCTGCCTATTCTTAAGTTGCCTCCCCTTCACACTTAATAAATCTGTTATAGCATTATAGCACACAAGTAGCACACACTGTACCAGTTGAGCTACTGTTGCACAGCAACAGACCCTGTTCTTTAGTGATGGGTTATACCAGTGACACTCAACTAGCAGCTCATGTGCCAAATCTGGCCCTCAACAGGGTGTCAGTTGGTCCCTCCAACATAATAAAAATAAGTTGATTTACAATGGGATTTTTCTTGCACTTTTAATGTAAATAAGGTGCTAGGTTGCATCAAAATATAGCTAATTTAATAAAGCTTATTTATATAAAAAGAAATGCTAGGGGAGGTTTCACAGGAGCCTTGATAGAGATCCGGACTAAGCCCTGAATGTCCTCAAATCCTAGAAACGCCCGAGTATAGCTGACTTGTGCAGGGCTTTTGCAACTGGCCTCTGTTCACCTGTCATTTTGTAAAATCAGGCCTTGGGCAAAGCAAGTCCAGTATCCCTGGGTTACACCTTGAAGAAAATGGAGGTCAATTGAGATACACAGGCTCTGTTCACATTATAGGAAAAAAAAATATTTTTGTGAAGTTTTTTTTATATTGTAAGTATGATCACCAATTTTCATTTGTATTCATTGCGTGGCATGATTATATACATTGTTGGTCTTGTGGGTTACTGAGCGTTTACCATTTCAAATCTTACGCCTGAAGACGCAGACTGGGCAGACAACTGATGTTGTAGGGCCGCTGCCCAGCCTGTCCTCAGATGTGGGATTTAAGATGCTAATTGTAACACAGGAAAGAAGCAGTTCTTCAAAGTATTCAACTTCGTCTTTGAAAAATATAAAGTCTAAATTGTGTCACAAAAAAACAGCAGTGTGAGAAACACTGGTTATGGAAAGGTGCTTTATTTCTCCAAACCTCACACACATCCTCAGAACATTCTTCATCATGGCACTGAAAGTAGAATATGTACATCATTACAAAAACAATACATCATTTGTATAAAACAATATGTACACGTTCTCAGCTTGTGGTCGTCTGTACAACAACAAACACGTTAAGCAAAAGAGGGGAATATTCATGGAATGATTGCTGCCTTTTTATCTGGTTCACTTCATGTTGCTTCACATTTACTGAAGGCGAGGACTTTTGAGAACCTTAGGGTTGTCGAGATATAAAACTAAATGTCATTAAATACCATGTAGCAAATAAAGCTAGGATATCTAGCCTTGTGTTAGGACTGTGTACAGTAAAGGCCACTGGATAATAATATAATTCTGTTATTCGTCGCATCATGGTTAAATGTTTCCTGGCTGCGTTTAAAGCTCACAATGGCACAGTAATCACAGTAATGGCACACAGTAGACGCCATTTTCTTCAGACGACATTTGGCAAAAGTTAAGAGTAGTCAAGTAAATTTCACAATGCAACTATGATGTTGCCATCTATACGAAAAAAATCAATCACACTTGATGGCAAAAAGTTGTTTGGCTATTTCTTTTAAAAATTAGGGTCCAACATCAGCTGACGACCTCAGATGAATAAAGTGCACGAGGTTACAGTGAGTTTATGTTTTGTGAGAGCGACATGTTCGAATTTAGATCTAAGTCATGGAACAAATTTGTATTCAAACATGATTTGGAGGAGCACAGAGCTCCGTATGACAAAAAATATGACTTCACCTCCTTCATGTTCGCCTGGGTCTGTCCTGGAATGCAGTTTCAAGGCGCATGACTTGTTTTACACATGTAATACATTCACCTTGGTTAAGCTCACAAAAATAATAAATACAAATGCAATAATAAAAACACAAAGAGCAAATAATCATCCAGACAGCGCCTACAGTAACTCGCCCTACACGTCCCACTCTACCAGAAGAACTCTAAATGCTACTAAACACATCATTTATTCTGGTGGTCTGATTTTAATCAGTAAAACTCAGTGCACAGTCAGAAAATGCAAATAAATATCACATGTCTAAAAAACTAATTAGCAAACACAGATTTCTATCAAAGGTCACTGGGCCGTCTCTTTGTCCAAAAAATATTACTGTCACTCAACTTGGTCTCTGGCTCTATTAATCTTTGCTTTAAAGGAATAGTTTAACATTTTGGGAAATGCATTCATTTGCCTTCTTGCAGAGAGTTACAGTATATGAGAAGATGGTTAGTAAGGCTACAGCAAGCAGCTGGTTAACTTAGCTCAGCACAGCGCTCTGTCCAAGGGTGAAATAAAAATAAATCTGCAAGCAGCTCATTAATTATCACGTTAGGCCTTGTTTGTTTAAAGAGACAGTTCAACCCCAAATAAAAAATGCATGAGAACTGGATACAGTGCTAAAGGTGGCGCCCCGTTCATTCCTATGACAGCTGCTCAGTGGAGCATGGAGCCAAAAAGTTTGAAGAGACTTTTGCCAGCTGAGCAGCTAACTTTCAGTTTAGCCCTCAGCTAACTTAAATTGGGATAAAGGGATTTGATTTTGCAGCTCTCCTAGACTTTCCAAATGTTATTGGACCGAATGAATTAAATCCCAATAGTAAAATATTTGGGGGTTCTGACGCTCAAAAAATGTATCCACTGATTTGCAGGCATCTCTTCAACATATGTAAGGGACAAAATCTTTTTCAGCCCAATGGCATCACGTGATGGATCCTGAAGTTGTAATTCCATGGTTTGGCCACTATGTTAAATTGGCCTCAAAGCCTGGAGCTGTTCCTGAGGGTTTGACATCACCGTGCAGAAGGAAGCGTGCATCTACTCATGGACGAGAGACTCGTGCTTGTGACAGTGTGTGGTGTGAACATTAACGTTAGCTAGCTCAGAGGTGCTAGGTGAGCTAGTAGTAGATGCACACTTCCTTCTGCGCAGTGATACAGTTAAAGGGTGTAGTTCGGTAAAAGGAAATAGTTCCTACACGAAACTGCTCACAACAAGGTCTGTGAATTATCTTGAGTAAGTGGGTAATGATTTCTGGAGAGAGACATTGATGTTGAGTTTTTCCAACGTATTTCTTTTTGGCGCTTTGAGCACCACAAGCTGAGTGTCATCTAGTTCCATTATATTGAAGGCAGACATCTCTACCGCTGATACTCCAGCACTCCACAGCTCACACCAAAACAATCTAGATTGATAAATAGTACAGGTGAGAGGGAAAATATGTATTTTTGATTTTTTGGTTGAACTGTCCCTTTAAGCCAAAAACAACCCAAAGTGGAAAAATGGTAGTTTTCTGGAACAGTGCAGTCCATACAATGAGGAATTGTGTTTTTTCCACTTCAATTTTTATACAGATTAAAAGAAATAAAACATGTATATTTATAGTTATTATTATGTATATTATTATAGTAATTGTTAATTTCCCCTTATTGTCAAACTATTCCTTTTTTTACCCGACACGTTCACACATTCATGAAACCCATCACTTCCAGTCATCTCAACTAAACACACACACCATCAAACAGCAGTTAAAAACAGTTCACTAACAGTGTTTCGACTTAAAAGAACAAAAGGACAGAACCTGAAGTGCTGCGTGAGAGGGAGTAAAATACAAAACCAACCTGTGATTCAAATTTACAGAGAAATACTGAAACTATTTTCCCTGTGCTGACTACGTTGTCGTGTGGTAAACTCAAATGTAATATCAGAGACTTTGATGGGTCAGTTACTGGATACTTTTTTGACATTAAACAGAGAAAAAGTCACTGCCCTAATGACAAGAGAGCAGCAGAAGCAGCTACAGTTAAATATGGCCGCCTACGTACGAGTCAACTGGTCTTTCTTCACACTGCTGCTGAACCTTCACATGATAATAAAAATCTTTCCTGAGCGTTCTCTCTCCTACCTGCACCACCTCCCACTCCCACCCCCCCTCCTCTACCGCCTCCTCCTCCTCCTACACATTATAGTCTTGGGTGGCAGTTGTGGTGGGCACGGTAGCACTGTTCAGTGTTGATGTTGCAGAGGGCCGCTCCCTCCTGACATATCTTGGCTTCCTCACTTCAAAGGAAACACAGAACAAAAGGAAACATATAATCACTGTTAACAAGAGGAGACATGCAGTGGAACGGCTCGATGGCCTGTTCTGTGCTTTTAAGAACAACTTACACGCCTGAGATCGTCTCTTTTAGTGCCTGCCATTGCTACAACAGTCCTCAAGCATGGAGCAATCCTCACCAACGTTACCAAAGACTCGTGTGTAATGTTTTGACTGCTCTGCATTTCTCAATAGCTTCACATTATTTTACAATCTGTTCAGCAAGGTCGGAGTTTCACAACAGGAAGTTAACAGACTAGGATAGTGAAGTTGTTTTACCTGTCGAGGAGGGAATCATGACAGCCTAGCAGGGAGAAAGAAACTGAAATTATCACCTTCCCTTTGACACACATTTACAAATGTCTGGACAACAACAGTCACAAGGCTCCAAAAACACTTCAGTGTGTGATAAGTGACCAAAAACAACAAAATGGACTTACTGTCTCACTTGGTTGGAATATGAAGGCTGTAAAGTACACAAAACATTTTGCATTTGAGTTTAACTGACTGAAAGCATAGAAATTAAACTGTTTTCAATGTTCTCTAAGCACTTTCATGCTTTATCATATTCATTTTAATGGATGTGGTGGGTAATTTGTATCAGAGCTGTGCAGCACTCACCCTTGTTGCGGCGGTAGAAGATGCTCGGGAGTCGGTTGGAGCGTTTGAGGTAGAAAAAGGAGGCGACAGAGAGGATCAGGAACAGGCTGATCAACAGTGTTCCCAAAAGAAGAGAGGCTGCCACACCTGGCCCTCCTGCTCAGGACCATAAGCACAGAACAGGAAACAGCTGATAAGACACGTGGTGAATATCTTACCGGCCGCTGCAGACTGTTACTCTATTGTCATACACAGCTTGTTACTTGGAGAAAAGTGTACTATTCTATTAGCTAACATAAAGCTGGGGGCGGCAGAGATCTGGAAAAGGCAGGATTTGAACACACACCCTCCTCCTGCAGCTCCTCTCTCTCTCTCTCTCTCTCTCTGTCCTAAGCCCCTCCCACCAGATGACCACAGGGATATGCATATGCTATATACAATAACCCACAGTTTCCAATACATGCATTTATTTCATCTTCTTTCATTGTAGAGTTGCCCAAACCTCAACCACTTAGCTTCCTCTTGCCCCACTCTCTTTCTCTGTTTATCAGAACACAAATGAGACAAGAATTAGACGACTAGCCCCACAGCCCCTCCGTCTCGCTCCATGCTGCTGTGTGAGCCCGCAGCAGCTCAGAAGATGGACCTTCAGTCGGCAGCTGTAGCAACTTAAATTCGACCAGCACAAACCCACCCAGCACTGGGTGTCACAGCAAGCTGGTGGCCAGCAGCAGTGCCGGATCTAATCTGTGTAATGGCAGCAACAGAAAGTTTGCTGATCTGGCAAAGAGTCGGGTCTGTCCAGTCTCCAGGAGCTGGGGTTTGTCCTGGCTGAATTTGGTTTGCTGCAGCCGCTGACTGGGGGTGCATCTCTGGAACTGCTTCACACTCTCCTCCCGGTGAGGTGGTCTGTAGAAGCGCAGAGTGAGGCGGGGATGCTTCAGAGAGACAGTAATGCCCAAATAGATGCCTGTTTGAGAGAACTGACCTGTGTCTGTGTTGCAGTGAAAAAGGCTACACTGTGATACTAACTTTCTCTGCAGGACTCTTTGCCATTGAATCAGGCTTTCACTGAAGAGACATGCACACACATCTGCATTTGTAGAACAGCTAACAGGAACGCTCTCTTTCCGAAATCATCTGTGATTGGTCAAAGACTCCCGTTACGGTCTAGATTTTCGATAAGCAGAGCCAAGAGGAGGTGCAGGAGAAGTGCAGTTTTCTCTCAGTCCACTTGAATTACAATATGCTTAAAGTTCATTCATTCATTCATTCATCTTCTAACCGCTTCATCCTCTTGAGGGTCGCGGGGGGGCTGGAGCCTATCCCAGCTGACATTGGGCGAGAGGCAGGGTACACCCTGGATAGGTCGCCAGACTATCGCAGGGCTGACACATAGAGACAGACAACCATTCACGCTCACATTCACACCTACGGACAATTTAGAGTTATCAATTAACCTAGTCCCCAATCTGCATGTCTTTGGACTGTGGGAGGAAGCCGGAGTGCCCGGAGAGAACCTGCTTAAAGTTTATGATGTGATTTTTGCCAAAATGAAACTACCTACCCCAGCTTTACATTTTTAAACTAATTTTACTATATTACCCCTTAAGGTTGGTTCTTTGATTCACTTTGACTTTTGTAATGATTCAGACTTGTATACACAGCTACAGAAAATGCTGAGAAATAAACATGAGGAAATAAGTAAATCAGCTGACTGTGAATTTGATATCTTACCAATTTTAGGAATGACAGTAGTTACGGTTGTGTGATTTTTCCTCTCCACTGTGTAGTCTAGCGTGCACACAAAAAGGGCAAATTGAAAAAAGACACGATTCAGTGTAGCATTCAGATTTCTGCTTACAACAGACAGTTCCCAGTCCTTACTGTAGGTGCAGATTGTTATGTTCTCCAGATCCACAGCTGCTGAGTCACAGAATATGCAAACAGTGTTGCTGTTCTCAAGGACACGTAGGAAGCATCCTGAAGAAGCCAAAACAAGAACATATTTCACTTTTTTAACCCTTTGATACCCTTGTACTCACAAATCATCTATTTCACCCTGTACTTTAACAGACAAAGATAAAACTGAATGATATGCCATTCATATTTACCTACATTAATTGCTTTATACACTGTATTTATAGCATGTTTCTTGGTATGCACCAAAAGAGAAACATTTTGCTGAACTATTCCAGTTTTAAAAGTGTGCAAGTTTTTAAATGGACAATGACAAAAAGTTGTTTTCCTTTTTCACACATTGCCATGGATTAGCATAACACATAAGCACAGGGATTTGTACATGCTGTTGTTAAAGTTTCAGTCCTTTCACTGTGTCTTTATAGCTGCAGTGGCAAACTGTCTCCTTTTTTTTCGGTCAAAAATCCACCGACATAATCTTGGACTTAACTTCTATAGCACTTTTCAAGTCTTTGACCACTCAGAGTGCTTTAATACGACATGTGCCATTCACCCATTCGCACATTGGTGGGCCTAGGCTACCGTACAAGGTGCCACCTGCTACTCAGTTAGCATTCACTCGCACTCACACACTGATGGGACAGTCGTCAGGAGCAATTTGGGGCTCAGTATCTTGCCCAAGGATGCTTCAACATGCTGGCTGTAGGAGCCGGGGATCGAACTGCCGATCTTCTAGTCTCGCCACCAGACAATCAGAGATCTCCGCCTTCTGATAGTCTGGGGACACTCCTTTCTAAAGTGTGTTTAACACACCGGAGAAAACGGCCAGCAACAAAGCAATGCCTCTTGCATTTCTGAAAAGGACACGACCTCCCGGAAATGTGCGCTCCCCCTTTTCTCATCCGCAAGGAAACAAACACACAGAGAGCTTGAAAATGGATGCCGAGAAATTTAACTCCGTTTTATCAAACGTGTGCTTACAACGACTTTGTTTTAAACTTTTAACGCAGTCAGACTATGTTTACGAGCACAAGAGTTCAGTGAGCCACCAAAGGACCGACCTGCGGATTTACTATTGGTTCTGCAACGTATGGAGTTTTTTTAAACTCTGAAATTGTATCCGCCCATCTAAACACAAAATCAGGGAGAAAGACATCAGTCTTTAGTTAAGCAAAGGGTCTAAAGACTGACTTGTGAGTCTACCGATCTTCCAATTAGTGGACAACTACCTCCAAACTGCAGCATATCTCCTCACTGTCATTATGTCTTTTAATGAGCTCTGAAAGGTTTACTATGCAGGTTTGTCACTTCCTGTTTGTAAATGCACTCTCCAGCGAAAGTGAAAGTAAAAGCCAACCCCAGATTCTTGTTTAGCAATTCAATGTGCTGTATTTGTGGTTGTCTCTTGGATACATGCTGCTTACGGTGTGGAACCTGATCACTACCTTTTTATACAGGGTTGACCTCACCTGAGCTCTGTGGGGGGTGCACGCCCATAAACCTCCTGAACACAGAATAAAGGAAGAAAATACAGGCAGAGGGCAGAGTCTCTGCAGAGAGATACACCACTGCAAACTTCTAGTGGGTCTAAGTGATGATTGAGAGAGATAACATCTGTATGAGTCTACACATTGTTTAGGAAACTCCTGCATTGCGTATGTTTAAGTAATTATATGAGACAGACTGATTAATGACCAGAGCGTCAATTTCTAACTGACAATAATGAAATAACAATGATCTTACAAGGTCAAAACTCTTGGTGACATTGTGTATACATGTAAAAAAGACCATCCACCTTACCTGGCTCACAGTGGGTGTCATTTGAACATGAAATATTCACTCTCTGTTTCTCTCCACAGCACTCAAGTGAGTTCTGATGTAAAGCCTGCAGACAGAACAGCATTCACAGATTAACAAATCAGTGCGACCTCAACAAAAGTTCACGTCGGCTCTCGGGCTGAGGAACATCTAGTCCCTACCTTAGTTACAGGTGTCTCTGGTCGGATAAGAATCACAGTTGCAGCCAAGACCAGAAGGAATGACAGAGCCATAGTCGAACCCTGGAAGATCAGAACAGACTTGAATTAGATACACATCAGTGACTTTGACAGGACACACTGTAGGACAAATACCTTTATATTTTTAGTCCAACAGGAAAGAAGAATGATAAAATATTATTTGACTGGTTGGATAATCATCTGACAAACATTGTATTTAATTATAAGGAAAACTAGAATAATTCGAACAAGTTGGAAACATCCTGTCTTGTGTACTATGCTGTTTATTGATCAAACAAAATGGAACAATAAAGCTGGATATAATACACAGTGGAGTCAGTCTGTACAAATGTCTGGCCACATTTGTGGTACTTTTTATTTATTCTTTAATCATTCAATCTTGCTTCAATCTTGACAATAGGCTGCATTACATTTAGGCAAAGTTCTTGTACAGCAAACAACATTAAATATTTGTTTAGCTTCTTCTGGTAAATGAAAAAGGGGTACTGCAGAAAAAAACAGGCTGTTCTCAACTTTAGGTATACCAACACTCAAGCATCTATTTTGTGGATTCTGCATTAGGGATGCACGATAATATCAGCACGTCATCGGTATCGGGCCAATATTGGCTTTAAAATTAACTATCAGAATCGGCCAACATGCTTCTTCTTACTTTGCACAATGGATGAATATTACATACATTTCAAAGTACTGTATTTCATGTCTCACGGTAAGAGTATTCATGTATAATATAATGTTAATTCCACTACGGGAGAGACCTGGTGATCAATAAAACTAGGTGGGTAAAGAAGTGGATATATCAGTATCAGGTTATTGGCCAAATAAGTGGTTATATATAGGCACCAGATATCGGCAAAAATCCAATATCGTACTTCCCTATTCTGCACTGGTATCACAAACAGACAATCCACAGCTGTTTTATTAAATTGTTAAATGTCTGTAAGGCTGACATTGTGTTTATTTGGAGTTAATTAAGTCTTGCTCCCCTTCACATGTCACAGAACAGTCTACCATATCAGGATTTTTGGGTCAATGTTCAAAGTTGTCTTTTATAAGCACAAGGTCGATAAGATCACTAAGGTCTTCCACTGCTTTACTTTTAAATGTTCCTCATGAGTCCCATTAAAGTGCTGGTGAGAGCGCTTTCTTTTTCTACACCCCTAAAATGTGGAATTCGTTACCTACTTTAATGTGAAGTAACATTACAGTCTTGATTTTTAAGTTTTAACCATTGGTTTTTACCGTCTTGTATCTCTCCTATTCATTTTTATTCTGCTTTATGTATTTATTTACTTACTCTCTTTTTAATATATGGAGTTTTGATGATCTTTTTTGTTAGTTTGCTCTGTTATGGTTGGTTTGCTTTTTTAAGATTCTATTGTCTTGTGTCTGAGTCATTCCAGTTTTTCTAAGTGGAGCACTTTGGGCTGCATGTTCGTATGAAAGGTGTCTATATAAATAAAGTTGAGTTGATTGATAGCATAACACATCTGATAAGTGAAAACTATCCTCTGGCTGATGATAAGTTACATGTTTGATACTGATCAATGCTGCATCCAAACTGTACAGATAAGTCCCCCACAATCACAACACTTTAACTATACACACAGCTAACTTTTTTTTAATGGATCATAACTTTAGTGTAAAGAGTTAAACAACATATTCAATGTCTCAAAGATGGCATGAAATTAGCTAACGTCAGTCACACAGGAAACAACCAAGGTGTTTAGCTAGCTAGCACCTGTCACTGGGATGAAGTTAAATCGTGATAGCGCTCACAGTCAGAGCTGAAATATCGATGTCAGCGTTACAGAGGCGGATCTGATAATCTATTTACACCTGTTTAATATTATAGGGTCATGTTTACAATCTCAGACTGAGCAGCTGCACATAACAAAAAGTTCACTCACCAGCCAAACGCTCGGCTTCGGCCTGACCAGACTCCTCGGTGTGGTTTAATCAGCGTCAGGTCAGGTCCGCCGCACAGGTCCGATAAGAAACACACCGACAGTTACAGCAGATATGTCTTTAACACACCTTCAGACACGGACTGACACTCAGTGCGTAGCTCATAGCTACCTGCTTTCATTTAGCATGGACACTTCCGGGTGAGGTTTTCAGAATAAAACACTGGCAGTGTTTATATTTCAGGATGTCTGCCTATAAAACTAAGTAAAATTAAAATTAAAATTCTGGCGAATACTAAAAATATAGAAATACAACAACTAATAATAATTATTATTACAATAATAAATTATTATTATAAATAATAATGATAATAAATTATTCTTCTTATTATTATCATTATAGTCTTGTGTGTACAGTTATTTCCCTTTAGTGCCTTTTTTATAAATATATTTTAATATTTTTATTTATTAGACAGATATGTACACACACACACCACACACA